ATATATATATATATATATATATATATATATATATATATATATATATATATATAAAGAATTAATAATATTCATAGAAACATATTCTTCATGAAAATTAAGAAAAATATTTAATATCATTTATACAAATGGTAATGCATTTGACCGTAATCGGGTTATTGAAGATGTTCTGTCGAAAAATTTTTCATGAAAGTGGGTTGAGCAAATGCGTGCTCCTGTTGGAATAGATGTTATTTTAATATTCAATATATCCACAACCATAAACTACGTATTGTAGCATTTTTTGGAAAACTATAAAAAATATATTATTTTTTAAAACAACTATGATAAAACTAGATTATCACACATGCACATACATACATATTATTCTTTTATTACAATATAAAATTTTTTCACCTGTGGAATGTAATTTTTGTGCGGTTTTTTTTATTGACATTTTGTTTCCAATTTTGACAGTCGGATCTATTTTTGCAGGAAGGTACAAAACATAATACCATTTTTTGCACTTTTATCTTATTCTTCTCTTTAACTTATAGCGAATTCGGTAGCTTGCACTAGTGCGCACTGAGTGCGCATTAAGGCTTGTTTACAGTACATTATATTTAAGATCGTGTCTTAAATACATATTTAAAAACATTTTAACTAATAAAATGATTCGTACGGATGTTATACATATCATATTATGGTTAAAAATATTTGAGAATTTATTTGAGAATTATTTAAGACAATCTTTAAATATAATAACATACTATGAACAAGCCTTAGTGCGCACTCAGTGCACACTAGTGCAAGCAACCGAATTCGCTATTAAACTGTGACACTCTGCTCAACATATTTTTCTTTTACGACGCTTGCGCGGAATAACAACCAATCACAAACGGGCACAGTAAGATAGCCAATTTTCCCTCGTATTGGCTTGTTCCGCACAACGATATACTCTGTCCCTATATTTCTTATGTCTATGGGTATGACAGGCTAGCCGGTCCTGCCATTTGTATGTACTTGAAAAAAAACTCCGGTTGGAAAACTATTCTTTTAAATCGTTTGTATTTCGTATGAAGAGTTTTGAAGTGCAATTGAAAAGATTTATGAGTCATTCTATTATTTGTAACTAATTGTTCTTTTTTGGACCATGTATTTAGCCGGAAATAATGACCGGAGGTAAATTAAATAAAGGTTCGATATGGTATCGTTTGTATTTCATATGAAGAATTATAAAGTATCATTAAAAAGGTTTGTGAGTCATTCAGATAATTTAATTAAATATTAAAAAATCATATATTTGGCCGAAATATCGATCTCAAGCGCTGCTGTGGAGGTACCGTCAGGCACGATCGGTGTATTATCTAGTATTTCAATACTCATGGTTCATTTTCGGGTAATTATGTATAATAAGGCCTTTTTCGAATTTTGATATTTTTTTGCAGCTCTTTTGGTAAAAATATTTATTTTGATTCCAACATTGATAATCAATCGGGGGAGTCCGGAAAATATGCAAGTTATATATTGTTTTAACTTTTTTATTTTTTTTTCAATTTTTTTTTCACTTGTCAAACGTTGCTGCTTTCCCACAATTTAAATAAGTTACTGATCTTTTAATCACATTATGTAACTGCAATATCGAACGACTAGCGGAGAGCTGCGCCCACTGCACCCCCCCTTTCGAAACTAACCTAACCCAACCTAACCGTCAGTCATTGTTTATTAAAGTGTTCAACTTATTTTCTTAATAATTTTTTAGTAAACAATAACGGCTAATGTGACGATAGGTTGGGTTAGGTTAGTTTTGAGTGGGGGTGCGGGAGGCGCAGTCGTTCGAAATTGCAGTTACATAATGTGATTAAAAGATCAGTAACTTGTTTAAATTATGGGAAAGCAGCAATGTTCGACAAGTAAAAAAAAATAAAAAAAAGTTAAAACAATATATAACTTACATATTTTTCGGATTCCCCCGATTGATTATAAATATTGGAGTCAAAATAAATATTTTTACCAAAAGAACTGCAAAAAGATATCAAAATCCGAAAAAGGCCTTAAGCTGGTGGCACATAGAAAAACTTAAGCAGTAAAACGTAAGCAGTAAGCAAATTGACCAATCACAATCGTTGATTCTTTGATCGTAAGAAGAATCAATGACTGTGATTGGTCAATTTGCTTACGTTTTACTGCTTAAGTTTTTCTGTGTGCTACCAGCTTTATTGTACATAATTACCCGAAAAAGAATCAGGAATATTGAAATACTAGATAGTACACCGATCGTGTCTGACGATACTTCCACAGTAGCTCTTGAAATCGATATTTCGGCCAAATATATGATTTTTTAAATATATGATTTAATTAAAATTATCTGGATGACTCACAAATCTTTTTAATGATACTTCATAACTCTTTACGAAATACAAACGATACCATATCGTAAATATTTGTTAATTAAACCTTTGTTTAATTTATCTTCGGATTATGTACACGCACCGGCGTTAATGGGGAGCGGTGCACTTGGACACGGTGCATTTGGACACAGCCAATCACAGCACCGTGTGATTAGAGACATTTGTAGGGTCCCTTGGAACAGCCACTTGTGATTGGACTGTGTCCAATTGCCCCGTGTCCAACTGATATACACCCGCGTTAATGCCGTCCGAATATCCGTGTGACTCGCACACGATAACGCGTCACTCATACACTGCTGCGTGTAGGTGAGCATGAGCAGCACGGAGTGGCGGAGGGAGCTAGCGGTATCGATCGTCGGACGCTTGGAGAGGGAATAGTGGTGGGAGTCGCGGCGAT